GACATCATTTGTAAAAAAATAAAAATAAATAAATAAGCAGACCTCCTTCTCAACTTATGAGCCACATTTTTGTCGTCGAGAAGGATTGGTCTTTGAGGTGGGCCATGATGGGTTGCATCTAGGTAGGAGTTCCTTCCACCCACATTACCTCTTCCATAGCGATGGATGGCCTTGAGAGGTGTTCTATTGGCACTACCATTAGTAATTTCGAGCCCTTGCTGCTCGCCAACTTTGATAGAGCATCAGCATGGGCATTCTCCATGCGTAGAACTTGGGTTAATTCAAACTTTTCAAAGGATGGGAGCAGGTCCATCACCAACCGGAGGTACGCAACCATACCCTTATCTCTGGCCGTGAAGTTGTCGTTTACTTGGCCAACAACGAGTTGGGAGTCGCTGTTGACGCACAACATCTTCACTTGCAACTCTCTTGCTAATCTAAGGCCGGCATGCAGTACCTCATATTCGGCCACGTTGTTGGTGGCATTGAATCCGAACCGTACCTCACAATTCAATTTATGACCTTCAGGGCTTATTAGGACCATGCCGCTCTCGAACCAGCGTCATCCATGAAAAGATTCCATGTGAGTGGGATCGGTAGGTTCCATAGCCCTTTTCATCTCGAGGACGTTAGCAAATTAGGCTACAAATTTCTCTAGGGCCTGGCCTTTGATGGCCACTCTGGCTTTAAAGAGGACGTCAAACTCGCTTAACTCCACCGCCCATTTTAATAGTATCCAGAGGCGTCTGGCTTTTGAAGTACTTGTTGAAGTGGGAAATTGATCAACACATGTATCGTATGAGCTTGGAAATAAGGCCTCAATTTACTTGATGCGGTGATCAATGCCAAAGTTAACTTCTCCATATTCGGGTATCGAGTTTCGAGTGCAAGCAATGCCTTGCTGATGTAGTAAACTGGTAGTTGGGTAGTACCTTCTTCTCTGACAAGTACGACACTAATGACTTCATTTGAAACAGCCAAATAGAGTTGTAAGGCCTTTCCGGGCTTGGGTTTCGAGAGGAGGGAACCGGTCCTAGGTGCTTCTTCAACTCTTGGAAGGCCTTTTCACATTCCTCGATCCATTGGAATTTCTTCTCTCCCTTTAGAATCTTGAAGAAGGGTAGACGTGTCGGTAGCCTTAGAGATGAAGCGGCTTAGGGCGGCCACGTGCCCTGTTAAATTTTGTACCTCCTTTGGTTTTTTAGGGGACCTCATCTCAACCAGTACTCGTATCTTCTCAGGATTTGCTTCTATACCCCTTTGGTTAACCATATAACCTAAGAACTTGCCCGAAGCAACACTGAAGGCACACTTGAGGGGGTTCAACTTCATCCGATATTTTCTCAGGATCTGGAAGCTATCATTCAAGTGGACTATATGATCATCTGCCTTTAGGCGTTTAACGAGCATATCATCCACAGACCTCCATCGTCTTGCCAAGGAGCTTGGCAAACATCTTGTTAACAAGCCTTTGATAAATGGCTCGGCATTCTTTAACCCAGAAGGCATCATCTTGTAGCAATAGAGACCTCTATCTGTGATGAAGGTGGTGTTCTCTTCATCAACCGGGTACATGAGAATTTGATTATAACCAGAATAAGCATCCATGAACCTCAATAATTCATGTCCTTGGTGGAGTCTACAAGTTGATCAATCCTGGGAAGGTGAAAATATCCTTGGGACATGCCTTGTTAAGGTCGGCAAAGTCGATACACACCCTCCACTTTCCGTTGTGCTTCTTTACTAAAATCGGATTGGAGATCCATTTTGAGTATTGGGCCTCCATGATGAAGTCATTCTCAATTAACTTCTGTACCTCTTCCTTCAGGGGTTCATATCGTTTCGGGTTATGGGCTTTCCTCTTTTGTGTATGCGGGGCAGCTTTAGAATCAATTTTCTGGTGGTGGTAGCTGACGTTGGGGTCAATACCCACTATATCCTCATGCCTCCAAGCAAAGACGTCTCGATTTTCACATAGGAAGTTCTTGAGCCTTTCCTTAACTTCCAGCGTTAGGCCCCTTCCCACTTGTAACGACTTAGTGGAATCCAGGTGATCCATTGGGAATTCAGTTAGCAAGTTGAGTGAGTTAGTCAGTGAGCTGTAAATATTCCTTTTTCACTTTTATATTTCCTCTTCCTATTTATACTCCAGCTTGTTCAAACGAGATTAATTGGATTGAATATTTTTCTCTTCCATTTCACAGCCTTGATCTTCAATACTCGAAGAATTGCAAAAAACGATTGGTATGCTTCTCATCACATTCGGTTCAACAATTGGTTAGCTTCTTACGTTTCCAATTTTTGCTTTTTCAGTTTGTACTTCAGTAATCCAGTGTCAAAGAAGCTGAACAAAGAGATATGGCGTAAGAGAAGTTCCAACCTACGGTATTAACAATGTTGTTTTGGGAAAATAACTGACTGCTTCACTGAATACACTTGTTTTTCTGCTTGCACAATGTTTTCAGCTCGTAATTTTATTTTTCTTCTCTGGCATTCCAGGCGGGCTTTCATAGGTCGAGTTTCTAATACATATCCGTCAACTTATTCGAAGTCAAAGAAAAGTGCCTTGAAAAAATTACCTTAAGAGGATGGCTACATAGGATTTCAAGATCCAAGATTGCAGATTTTTACCATAGCATTGTGGTGGATAGCAAAGCAGATTATAACTTTGTCATACGTGGTTTGATTGTTAAATAGTTTTCCATACTTGATTAGAGGTTCTTGATTGTGATAAAATAAGTCATGCTTTCATTTATATCTTTATATTGGTGTTTAAGATCTCCCGCGCGAGTAAAAAATTGAATTGTACGCTAAGTTTACTTGTAGATGGGTAAAATTGTATCATTAAAGTACGGAACAACCAAATAAATGAATTAGTGCCCTCACTTGCTAGTAATCCACATCCAAATAAAATTGAGCGTCCATGGTGATTTAACACCCACGAAAGGTGCAAAGGGCATGCCACACTTATTTGCCAAGTAGGTTGTGTAAATGTAACATCGCCAAATTATTCATAAGTTGCCCTACTCCTTCAATCGGCCCAAAATAAGTTCCTAATTCGAACATTATCATCTACATCTGTCATATAAAAGAAACTTGAATTCTTTGCTTGCATCCAAACAAAATAATCATGAATTGCTTCAGTATCTCCAATACCAAGTCTTAATTGTCTTCTTAACAATGTAATTTCTACAATCATTTTTCCCAAAAAGGAGACATTATCTTGACCCCTAGCTTCCACTACAAATGATGGATAATTCTTTGCCACAAATATCCCAGCTCGATCTTTCAATTCAAGTTTTCGTTAAGCACCGATACTAATTTCCCTGTTACAAGAGTAAAATCTTGATTTTTGTGGACTCAATCCATTGTGCTCAAGTGTAATAGAATTAATCTTGCACTTTCCATCTCCATATACAGAAGCATTAACTCTAGCTTAGCACCCACTTTTGTCTATGGATTAGGATTGAGGTAATTTTGTTTTTGAGACCTTGAATTTCCAGCAAGAGAACAAGAGAAGCAAATCCATTTTAAATTTCCTTGTGATCATAGCGATTGCCTTATAATTCCAAAACCTTCTTGTTTTCAGTATTGTTTATAGCACTCATAAAGGTTGTTCACTAAATCAAAATGCATTCCAACTTCAGGCGCTTGAATAATCTCTTTACAAACCAAGTTCTTGTGTACCTCTTGTTCATCCACATATTCTTCATGACTCATATCCAACATACTATCTTTCTCAATGAACTCTTGATCACTTTTAAATATATTAACTCCAAGAATCTGAAATACATATTAAAATACAAGAATGTTAAATACGCAAGACTTGTTCTTTCACCTACAAGCAGCCTGCGTTTTGTGTATGAAGTCAATAATTTGAAACAAAAGCATAATTACCATTAGAAGATCAACTTTATAGCAATTTAACTAAATGAAAAGTCTAATTTTCTCCTTGGAAATATAAATTTAGTCAATAAATTAGAATTTAAAAACAATAAATCAGTGCAAAACTAAAACTAAAAAAAAAGAAAAAAAGGTTTTAATACAAAAAGAAACTACAAAGACTTGAACCCAGAAATCTACTAAAAAATTAATGTACCTAAAGAATCCTGTAAAGACCTGGGTAAAAATCTCATATAAGTTAATGAGAAGCATACCAATTATTTTTGCAATTCTTCAAGCCTGCGATTTCATTCAGTGAGAGCTCTTTTCTGGTGGATGGCGGAGGCGGTGAAGCCAATACGACGGTGATATGCTATTGGCAGGGTTGGCCGCATGGGGAGAGAGAGAGAGGATGTAACGGTATTGAGTGGTTTGTTTGTGGGAATATGAAACAATTTTTCTCCATAAACCGATTTGACCTTTTCTCCCCCCTTTTTAATTTAATGAAAATAAGTAATTACTATTAAATTAAATATATATGCCACGTAGGACGCTACGTAGATGGACTTCGGTAGTCTTCACTACGACTAGCAAGGGTGAAGGGCCTAGTTAATCTTTACTTACAGAGCCTATAGTACATGTTTTGCATATGCGGATAGTTGATTTCGATGCTACACCTGAATTAGAGATTTCGTCCTTGGTTTCAATACCACACATATAAACGTTCTGTCTCCCCTCAACAAGTCACTACAGCATTTGAGATCTTTATAGACAACATAAGAGAAATGATCTACTAAACACCGTGTTAAACAACAATGACATGACATTTTGTTATGGATATGATGAAGCATTGACAAGCATAAAACATACTAAAATACAGGGGCGTCGTGATGGTGAGGAGAAACACGAGCTTCTTATGATATAATCACTCTATAATAATCATAATATTTGCAGTTAACCAAATATGCATGCCTACATACTTCCCAAAGAAGACCTCAAAGTTACATACTCCAAAGAAGCTACTTTTGAGCTTAGCCAAACATGCTCAAAATACTATAAACCTGTGACTATTGTGGCATTTCAACGTACCATTTCATGGATGCCTTCACCACCCGATGTTATGATTGTTGTCTTGTAAGCATTTGCATTCTCTGGTTTTCCAAGTGAGAAGAAAGTCTGGCACACTTCTTTCTCTTCTCCTCTAATTCATTCTCCAATTCCTCTATCTGTTTTTCAGTTTAAATACATTAATAATTTTAATCCATAATAATAAGATGCAATTATCGACAAATATATAAATATATGAATATATGCACCGAGTATTTCTTTAACTACCACGATATTTAATAACCAAATCATAAACTGCTCGTGCTAGTAACTAAAAAAATTCAATACCGTTTTTTTCAATTCAACTTCCTTCTGTATGTGTTCCTGACACCTGCCGGAAAGGATTCAGAGTCAATTCATTGGTAGCCATAAAACTATAAATAAACAAATAAAGGACAAAAAAAATTGAACTATGATGGAATCAAAGATGTTCTGTTTAAGGAAAATACATCTGTGGATCGAATTGATTGTAGAACTTGAGTTTAATTAGCCGATTTATAAGGGAATATTATCATCTAGATGAATGAACAGATTAACCTGCAACAATGATTAATTACTTTTGCTACAAAACAAGTTCATATTTCATCTCCGTTACCTTTTCTCAATAATAACAAACAATTTGAAAGAACTGAGTCGACCTCTAGAAACAGTATTCGCCACATGAATATACATTCATGCATGGAAACATATTATATACTCTCTGCAATAGTTGGTTATGGTTACATGCCCCTTCCTACGCCCCTACCTCTAAAGTTAACAAACTAAGTTTAATATTTTATGTTTCTTCAGGTGGTATTAGATTATAACTGATATGAGCATATACTATTTACCTATTGAACAGCTGGATGTTCTCTTCAGATATCTGATCAATTGATCTAGAATTCAAACCATCTAGAGATGCTTCTCTGGCAGACCCCTGCAACCAGTGCCAGTTAACCAGAATAAGCAATAAAAACAATCTCTCGTTAGTCTAGATTAAAAGTTATGCTTGGAACAAATTAAACCTAAGTATGGGCATATAACGTTCCAACAGCAAATAGTTCAACAAATTTCACTCCTTAACAACAATACATGCTTGAAGGAGACCATCTTCACAAGGCATCAGGCACAAAGATTCAGCCAGTTAAGGAAAATTCACACTTACAGCTACAGGCCCAGTAATATTAGGCAATTTTCCACTGTCACTAGTTCTGGTGGTACGAGTTCGTTGACCAGGCAACTGATGCAGCAGATCATCGGAAAGATCAATAACAGGTTGAACTGAATGCATGTGACTATCAGTTGCAGACTGCTTTTGCATACTAGCTCCATCTCGAGGTTGCACAGTATATTGGTTTTGCAGATTACCCTTGTTCTTGCCATCAGGCTGGTATCCTATCAAGTGACAGTGACCTTTCCTGCATCATACATTATATACTTGATTTTTCACATTTTGGAGGAACTTAAATAACATAGGACTGTCTGAAATCCAATTGTGAAAGAAACTAGTTCAGTTATGTAGAAAGGCAGACGGAGATACAAACGCACAGAGATATGAAAAAATTTCTCTATGAATGGATAATACCAGTTCTGAAAGTCGTCCATTATAAGGATCATTCGCTATGGTGTCATATTGGTTTACTAGAGAACGATTTCATTTTATTCTTTCTACAGCAACTACTATTAAAAGCTGAGAGAGACGCACCAAAATGGCAAATCTCAGTCAGTTATTAACCAACTAGATCAGTTTCAGATACCTTACACAAGACTTCAAGCAACATTGTGCAAGGGAAATGAGGCAGGAGATAAAATTAGTTTAAAGACAAACACAACACAACAAAAAACATTGCCTTTTCCCAATAAAATTGTGGTTGGCTACATAAATACCTTTTTGCCTGTCCAGTTCATCGATTTAACTAAATCTTAACAATCACAACTGCCATGTTAATTTTGGTCCACTCTTCTCTCTTCAAACTTATTTCCTTGGATAGCATCAATCTTACGAAAGAAAGCTTCATTAAGTTTTCGCTTCCTGATTACCCAAGTACTGTTAACTTATCCTCAACCTCGCCGCCTCCACTTGTTGACATATATTCTCATTTCTTATGTTCACACATCCATCATAGCATCCTCAGTTCCACTATGTTCATCTTAAGATTTTTATCTTTTAACAACCCAACATTCAATACCATAAAACCCAGTAGGTCTAATAACTGTGTAAGGTCCAATAACTGTTCAAGGTCTATTAACTGTTTCATAGAAACTGACTTTTTCCTTCCTTACGAGGATCCTCCTACAACTTAAAATTCCTGCAAAACTTCTCTATTTCATCCACCCTGGTCTAATCATTACATTACCTCTTCATCAATTTCTCATTCCTTGTTAATAATCGCATATAAATATTTAAACCAATCCGGTAGGGTAACTCCACTATTATTCCCATTCCAAATATTACTAGGCTTATGCTAAATCAATAAAAACTATATTCTCACTGTTTCTTTTCTCCATGCATTTGTAGTCAATATCCTTAGAAGATAAATGGCTTCCATAGTAAATTGTCCAAGCACCATGCAAAACTGAGTTTCTGATAACTTAAAGAGTTTCACATTAATCTATGCCCAATTGCCCTTTCCCATAATTCAACAGAGATGGCTAATGAGTTTAATACCTTTGCAGTTTGTACAATCTCAAATATCTACTCAATCAACCCCTTGGTTTTAATTTAACTGCTTCATACTTTTCAAAAGCCTCCACACTTCTGTCTTTTTGTAAGATTATATAGCATTCTCTTTTAGTCTTGATTTTCATTTAAACCATGTTCCGCCCCATATTTATTTATCAGTTGGTTTCTACCCTTAGATTCTCTGAAACCTCATTCCCTAGGTTTCTAATGTAACTAGTCACCTTATTCCACATCATGTTACTCTGTCCCTATCCCACTTCCATTGAAATTCCATCCTTAAATTTCACATATTTTTTTACCCTCCAGGTTCCACCAACTTGTTATATGACCTCAAACATCTTTGCCTCATTGGTAATTCTTTTCTGTTTCTTTACAACGTCAAGAATCACAAACCTATTGTGCATTTCAGCTCTGACAAGGACCAATCACCTTCCTATAAAGACGAAATCTATTTGTCTAAACCTCTGCCACTTTTAAAAGTTATAAGTTGGTCTCTTTATCGATGCATGTATTCGCTAACACTAAATGACAAGCAATCCGAAGTCCAAAATTGTATTACCTTCTTCACGTTGATCTCCTGAGCCAAAAATTACCAATTTACCATGAACCGTTTCATATCTTGAGTTTTACCCATACGACTGTTTAAACCACCCACAACAAGTATATATTTAACCAAGGGTTGACTGAATAAAACCATACATGTCATCCCAAAACTATTGTTGTCCAATCCTATCCAAATGCACTGATAATATTAATCGACTCTTCTTTTAAAGGAAGTATAACCAATATTATCCTATCCCCAATCCGTTTAACTTGTAATGTATGACCCCATTTTATGAACCAGCTTCAACAATTATTCCAACTCCAACTCTATTATTCTCCTTGCCCATATCCGAAAGTTTATATCCCATGTTCCCTATTTATTTTGCCGTCTCCCCACTCATTGGACCTGTCCATTAGATCACAGGACCCTTGCTATTCAACCCTCGTGGTATCAAAGCGTTGAGTTGCTTATGGGGTACGCCAACTAAGCCTTGCTAACTTTTCACTACTACACACATCACTAGTAGGGCTACCCCAACAAATTGTATAAGTGGAAGCAAGAGAAATTATTGGCTGACAAAAACAAACTAACCTGAGTTTCAACTTAATAGAGATCGTGCAATATAATGATACTGCTAAGAGCTGATTAAACTTAAAAATAAAAAGCAAACAAGTAAAGAAATAATACCAATATTCCATAACCATTTGTTTCAACCTCATCTCCAGCTTGGTAAACAGAGATGATCTCTCAAAATCCTGTTTGTCATGTGCAGGTTCTATGAAATTTGCTTCCAGTACTCCTGAATGCAATAGATTAGTTAGTTTCAAAGAACTAGTAGAAAAGTAGCCTGAACTAAAAAACTGTTTAAGCATTACCAACAACACCGTCTCCTCTACAAGAACCATCCCCCGTGACTTTCCAGAAGGGCTGTTGGAACACAACATTTTAAACATCAATGTAACTTGAGATTTCCCTCATCATTTAAATGTGAAACTTCAGTATGCGTTCATTAATTATTTTCATTTCAGACCACAGCTTTGCTGTAGACCATTTTGATTACCCAAATTATAAAAATCCAGCTGTTTAAATTTTCTTTCAGAGAATTATTCAGATATACCTCACATTCAACCACTGTCACAAAATTAAATATATGCATGAAGGCTGGGAAATTAATATACTAAAACCTCACATCGGCCATAATTAGAGGAAAAATCAAATTATGTGATAATTAGGGAAATGAAACTACACCAACGGATTTTTCACGTATTAGTACACGTACCCTGATGAGACGATTTTTATGGTATACGTTGAATCCACAAACTTTCAGTGCAGGTGCTTCTTTAATAAAGCCAATGGTTGTTTCCACCATCATTGGTAACGGGGCTGCTAAAAATAACCAATAGACCAATAGACCAATACTTCTCTAAAATCATCGTTCCAAAATCCACCCCAATCCGCACCTTGACCCCAAACATAATTGACCACCATCACAAAATATCCATTACTAATTCCAGCAATACCACAAATATCAAATTCCACTAACAATAGCAGGTTGTAATTTCGTTGTCCGTAACATTTCATGCGAAAACACTCAATCAAATGAGATCTACCTAATTGATATATATATTTTTTTTCAAATTGTATAGAAATCGAATCAAACACCCCCTCATAAAACTATTGCAAATCATACCTCTTTTGATGACACACCAACAGTGGGCCTGTATGTGATTGCTTTTGAGTATTTCAAGTCATCAGCAATATATAACTGCTGAACAGGCTTCCCTCTTAAAATAATTTTGAAGTTCGTAAATTTTCTGAGATACAGTATTGACGCATAAGCCTGAAAAGAGACATGTACTGCAATTTTTATTCATTAAGAGAAACTTAAGAAAATAATCTAAGTGATGGTCTAAAAAAGCAACCGGTCTATGTTGGACATGTACACTTGTCTGACAAACTTAAAGCTTGTTTGGAAGAGATTTTTTCAAAAACCTATTTCCCCCAAAATCATTTTCAACCACACATTTTGTTGGACCCATAGTTTTTCTTCACCTTTTAAACACACCTTCTTCGGAAAAATCATATTTCACGTGAAAAATCATCTGTAGTCACTTGTCCAACACATTTTGGCTAGGACAAAAAATAGAAGTTTTTAATTCACACAATTCACAATACATGGGCTTTACCTTGTTGTATGTTGGACAGCTGTTGAACTTAAACACATATCAAAAAATATAGATAGTGAAGATGTAAATTTCTCATACAAAATTTAGCTATCTTTTAGAGGAAAAAATTTACATATAAGACTAACGTGTCATATCAATTCAGTTGCAATTACAGCTATTGCTGCTAAAGGGACAAAAATAAATATTTAACAATTTATTTTATCATATGTTGTTTCTGGCTCTTTAAAAATAAAGGTCATATCCATGTAGAGTTGCATCCAGGTCTTGAGCCTGAAGTCTGTTTCTTAGAAAATAAGACATGAGGAGAACATAAAGTTTAATTGTTACCCTTAGTGAAAAGCGTATGCGGTAGGAAATATGAGATTGTAGTTCAAGGACCCTCTTCAATGTTTTGGATGGATTCCCCCGATTAGCTTCATCTCTCAACCTAATATCCTACATCAAAGTGTAATCAGAAATATTTTTTTAATGAACAAAAGTCAAAGAATGTCACCAATGTTTCTAACATGTCATCAATAACAAATAACCGTCGCTACTTGAAACCATGAACATAAAAATGTGAAATACGAATAGCTGCAAATAAACTATATAGTAGCCAACAGAAAAGATCATATGTGACTATGTTGCTCGGACTCGGGTGCGAGTGTCGGATACGGGTACATATCATGGAGTCGGATCCTTCTTATTTTAAAAATTAAGATTTTTTTTTTTTGTTTTTTTGATATTTTTGCCCAAATTAGTCGACAAGTTTCCAAAAAAATTTAAATTTAATAAAAAAAAAAAAGATGTAACATTAAATTATTTTAATTACCAAATAAAAAGTTTACACAAATAAAATATAAAAAATAAAAATTTTAATACAAAAAATAAATTTAAAGTAAATGGGTTGGATCTTACAATTCATCCCAATAAAATAATAAAACTTTATCAGCTTTATTTTTACAAAGCCCATAGAGAACATTAAAAAATTGGGCCACAGCCCACATTAAATTAGGGCTTTCTTCCCAGCAGCTTTGCATCGTCTTCTCTGCATCAACTCCTCTGCAAGCTCCTCTGCAGCTCCTCTGCAATTGTTTCTCTTTCTCCGCTCCGCAAGTCCTCATCTTCTCCCTTTTGCTGCCGTGTCCAAGTGCAAAGTCAAGGATCCGATCCATATCCTGTGTCGGTATCCGTGTCGTGTCGTGTTGTGTCGACACGGATACTTCTCCATTTTTGGAGAGTCCGAGCAACATAGATATGTGATATACCCTCCTTTAGGACAAAAATTAAAAATCATTTATAAATGGTCAAACTTTATTTTGAACCACACATTCCAATGTCTACAAGTAGTATCCACTTACCCATCACTCATTTCTATCAATTTATATATTAAACCATTTATAAATTCTTCCAAAGGGAGGCATAAATATATAGAAAGACTTCAAAAGAAGAGCCGTTCATTAAAACCAAATGAAGTAATGTTTCTCACTAAGCCAGAAAGCCTATGTGAGCAATCTTTTTTAATGTTTAAGCAAAGGATGTTGTGGTTACTAGATGACAAAACAAAGTTTCACTTCACACAGATACTAATATACACATGCTCAATAATGATTTAAGTGCACAAACTACTGCATTTTCAATGTCAAAAAAAAAAAGGAAAATAGAGTTATTTATTACCGATACATGTGCATAAAATGATGATTTTGAAAGACAAATGATTTCAAACCAAGCCTCGTCCTCGTCTTGGATTCTTAATAAGCTATTGTTATTAGCATTTTATATGGTGTGAACTCTCTTTTTCAATTATTCCTCACCCCAACATGCCCCTTTCTTTTGGTTGTATATGACGATGAGCTTTCAACTCAAAAGCACGGATATTTATAAACTCATTACGTTACCCGTATCCGATACGTATCCAAGCTAAAATACTTTCCAATACCTTTTGATACGTACCAGATACATATTTTCAATTATTGTAGATTTTTTTTTTATATTTTTAAAATTTTCGATACGTATCAAATATGTATTTTAATTATTTTGTATTTTTTTATTATTTTCGATATTATGTATAACTAGTATTAAATAATACATGTAAAATTGTATCACATTAATTTTATTATTGAAAATAAATAATGATTTAATACATGTAAAACCTTGCTAATAAATTATACATTGATATAATTAAATTCCACTATATATTTATTATTTTAAATATGTGTAATTATAAATTATTAAAAAAAAACTATCTTATAAAATAGTAAGGGAAGACAATTTTAAACTTAAAACATGTCTTCTTCTCAACTGAGTGATTAAGAATTATCAAAACCAATTTGGAAATATGTTAACAAAATCAAGTTAAATGCTGGTGCAGGTGGAAATACACAGTGGTAGTGAAATTTTTATCTGAAAGCGCATACAAATTCTTACACCAGTCGGAGCTCATTTGTTGAAGATAATGAAATTATGTTGAATTTTATAATACATATCCGAGTATCCTAATTTTTTTTAAAAATTCATATCGACGTACTCGTATCGTATTCGAATTACGCATCCGTATCTGTGCTTTCTAGGCTTTCAATGCTGAAATTCTTGTATGTAGGTAATATACAAAGAAAGTAGCACCAGAAGTTCTGTGGATAAGCCTGGACTTTGGAGTCAAAAGCTGAACAGTGAAAACCAATATGTACATGTTTGTTTTACGAGCCATGGTATATTTTAATAGTGTCTCCCCTCCAACAAGCTGTCTGGTTGTACTTCCAAATCCTACCGTAATCCACGGCCAACTATCCAGTGAAAATTTCTAGATTTGCAGTAATACAATGCCATCAAAGATTCAAGATAAACATCACCATTTAGATATTGCTTATGTAGATTACCAGTTTATCCAGGACTGTGGTACCACGATGTTTATATTTTTTCGACTTACACACAGATATTCTTCAAGTTCCATGCAGTGCTGTCACATTTGTATTTGAACCTTACAATGCTAAAATGTGAAAAAAATTAGATAGATTTTGAAAATTCATCCAAGCTATATACAGATTTCTGCAACTGCATTATCTCGTCATTGACAAGTTTTTGGAGCCTTATGATAAATTATTCTCATTTACTTTTGAGGATCAGCGACATAAAATATACTATCTGGAATTCTATTATTTCAAATAACATCACTATGATTTTTTTCTTTCTGGACGAAAAGTGTATGATATTATCCAAGCTTACAACAGTTCAAAATGATCCTAGTTTTGGCCTATTATTTAGGTTGTGGTAAAGCTTATGTTTAGAGACACTCAAATCTGCAATATCTTTAAAGAAAAGCAAAACGAAATATATAAAGAGAATGAAAAAGTTAGACACAAAATCTTAGCTGGAACCAGTACAGGACAATGAGAGGCAAACAAGAACAAAATTTGGAATAAAAACATTATAGTTGAGTTAGAGGGTGTTTGACACCCATTTTAATGAGTTGAAAATTTTTGGAATAGTGATTGATGGGAGAATGTGGGGTGGAAAAGTGATGAAAAGTTTTAGATTTGTGTGTAATATTATTTTATTTGGAGAATGTGTGGTTGAAATGAAGAAAGAGAAAAAAAATGAGAAATAAAATGGGTGCCAAACATGGGCTTAATATAGGCTGCACCTTTTGTGTGTCAACAAGTACATAATATTATATAGGAATCTCATAATTCTAGATAGCAAAATGTGCTTTTAGATGTTACTTATTGATTGAGATAATACTACATGAAAACTAAGTCCAAGAAGAAAGCCACAAGGAAGCAATGCATATTTGGTCTTTTGTTCAACATTTATTATGAAATATAAAGAATGCAATAACGAAATGAGAAGTGAATAAGGAAGAAAAAACATCACAATCTTGATATTGATGTGTATATAAATGCATAGATATGAATGGATTTTTGTGATGAATAATTACGTTTTTTGAATGGCATTAAGCCCTTGTTTGACATCCATTTTGGAGAAAATTTTGATTTGGAATAGTGATTGATTGAAGAATGTGTGGTTAAAAAGTATGGAGAATTTTTGAGTTTATGTGTAATATTATTTTATTGATAGAATGTGTGGTTGAATTGAAGAAAGAGAAAAAAAATGAGAAATAAAATGGGTGCCAAACATGGGCTTAATATATTTCCAAGGTGAAGTTTAAGATTAATGAATGCAAAAATCCAGTCATCAGTAACTACATAGAAATTAGTAAAGCTCAGGTATGCCAAAAAGATATTACTAACCTCATCGTCGTCATCAAAATTCAATTCATAGATGCCTTCATCATTCAGCCACAGGTTATATATTATGATCTTTGTTCCATGTGACCCAATATTTTCAAACTGGAAATAATGAAAGAATACATTATAAAAGCATTAATCTGTAACAGAAGTCAAGAATAAACCTCCGAGAGTCGTAAAATAGGTTTAATTTGCAATTGTAATTGCAATTACTGAGATTAATCTTTTCAATCATATGATCTGGAGTCTATTTAATAATTTACCATATAAAAAAATTCCAAGTTTATTTCATGGACCTCTGTTCTCCATCCTTTAACTTATTTTGCCTGGGTAAACCTTATTTCTAGTATTCCTTCAAAGTAATATATTTGTTTTTCTAATTAAATTCTCAACAAGAAACAAACATAGCAATCGAAATGTTTAAGCAACTAAACTGTGGAGGCAAACTTGCTTTTGGGTAATCACTCCATGACATTGTACAGTATAGAACTAAAAGTTTTTGTGCTAGAGATGTTGCATTTCATCAAAATTGAACCTGTAGCATAAGCTCGTCCTTAGATGCAAATGGAGACCATTCAAGGATGGTATTCAAGTTATTGGACCAATCATCCTTAGAGCTATAGATTATAGGCTCGGCCCAGTGGTCTGAGATATCAAAATCAACCTGCAAATTATTTTCAGGGAAGAAGAATGACAAATATGTTCTTGTAAGAAAATATAAAATCAATGTCCTTTCATGTCAGAAATGTAGACAACTAAAGGAAAATTTCATTATTAAGCATAACAAGTCAACCATTGGAACAATCACATCATCCTGCCCGGTTCTCCGCAGAAATGTATATGAGAGAAGACCAACACTTTGGGTTGCGCACCTAGAGAACGAGAGTTAGAAAAGTGTCAAAAACACATCAAGATGGTAAACAATATCTCTAAAGCACTAGAAATGAATATTGACAATGGTCAGTCAAATCATATAGCTTTAAAACCTAAAGGCATCCCCACAAATAAGCACATTGTAATAAGTATTAACTCTTCTTCTAAAATAATTGAAAAACTGCACTTTCCAATATTTTTCACATATGTTATCAGTTCCAAGACATTTACCAATAACCCGACTTTGACTGATTTATATTTTGCATTATCAAAGAACTCCAGAGTTTCAAGACCCCTTGACAGATTGAGAGTAGGAATGAGCATATATGCAAGTAGCTTAATGTAAATAAATCAAGAGGGTATAATTAGAGAAAAAAAATACCCTGACTTCATTGCACGACTAAAAACGATCACATCAGCTCCCAACCGCATGGTACTTGTTTTGAATCCATTACCATCTGAAATAAGAACATATTAGAAAATCTCATTATGTACATCTAACGTTTCCAAATGATAATAAAAAAAAAATATGTATTAAGGTCGCGAGTGGCTATCAATCAATTAACATATCATTGTGCACATAACTTCAGTTTCCCTATGGGAATTCTAATTGACTGAAAATAATTTGAATTTCCTTTAGAGGATATCCTTACAAAGATCATAAGGATCCTTGTCAAATAAATAACTGATTAACTGAGGCTGTTCAAACATGAGAGGTCAGCTCTGGGAAGCTAGGATACTCTCTAGGAGCTGATCTAAGCATAGGTCAGGATTAACTAAGGCTGTTGAAACAAGCATACAACTCATTTTTTCTCAAACTCATTTTCAATCACATTCTCACGATAAAATATACTTCACGTAAACTCAGAATTTTTTCATACTTTTTAACCACATTCTCCAAAACAAAAAAAAACAAAAAAAAAATCACTATTACAAAAGTCATTTTAATGGTTGTCAAACAAGGGCTAAGTCAGCTCTAGGAAGACCAGGTAAGTGTGTCAATATCTCACACATGTTGGAAATGGAAACAATAATCAAACAAACATGAAATAATGCAATCTAAATATATGACGTTGCTAATCCTAGATAGAAGCTATGATGCTCGGACTCGGGAACAGGTATCTGTACGGGTACGTATTTAAGTGTCGGATCTTTTATTTTTTAAAATGTAGGATATGAGGACATGGCTAAAAATAGTCCAAATTTTGTACACGGGTACGTGGGTACGTCTTTCAAACTTCAATGTTTTTACTAATCCAGGATGTCATTTTGAATTGACCAAAATTAATTATTTACAATGAATAATAAGGGGTTAAGACAAATTTTTGGGGTTTAGTTTTCAATAATGAAAATTACTAAATAATATATAAAATAAAAAATGAGGAACTCGATTGTAATTTGANATGGAACCCATTTTCATTTTATACAAATAAAACCCTAAACCACCTATATAGAGATAAAAAGAAGGAAAAAAAGAAGAAGAAGAAAATGGAAAGAAAAAAGGACGAAGAAAAAGAAGGGAAAATTTCCCTTTCGATGACGACACTAGGTTTAAAGAGAGCAAAAGTGGGAAAGAAAAAAAATTAAGAAAAAAGAAAAAGAAGGGAGAAGAAGCAAAAACAACAAAGTGTCCGGTTGAAATTTGGAGGATCCGACACATATTCCATATCCATGTTGTGTCGTGTCTGACACGCGTACTCCAACTATTTCAAAGAGTCCGAGCATCATAGGATAGAAGTGAATACGTTATGGATACAATTGTGAAATGCTAAGGGTACGTTTGATTGTAAGGGTGGAAAATGGGTGGAAAGAAAATGTATTCCAGGGAAAGTGTTTTGCCTAGAAATCATTTTGCTGAGAATTGTCAATGAAGTGTGTTTGATTGGTATAATTTTCCACCTGAAAAATATTGAAATTTTGGATTTTTTGTGTTCGTTTAGCATTATTTTTTATGAAAATTGTCGATTAAAGGAATAAAATTTGTTACAATTGGGATAGAATTTGTTTCAAAAAAAAAAAAAACTTGAAATTAACAAAATTGAATGCCCTTCTAATACAAAAACAGAGGCCATCATATCCTCGTCTCCTTCGTCTTCTCCATTTTGCTTGGGCTACCATCTTCTCCCTTTCTCTTGGGCTCCCATCTTCTCCTAACCAGCAACAGCACCAGCGCCACCAGCAGAGGTAGCAACTGCTACTGCAGCTCCAACATTCGTCACAAGGTCCTCAATGTTCGGTTGGTGGAGCATAGCAAAAAGGATTGGCCAGTACGATTCGAGCTAAATTGACGAAGACCCATATATGTATGTTGTTCGCCATAATGAGGAGGAGGTAATGGTGGTGGTGAGCGACCCTGATTCTGCACGCCGGCGCCGGAATTTGGGCTGCAATGTGCGTGTTTCGCTGCCAGGAAAGTGGTATGGAATTGAGCCTGATTGAAAACGTTTCTGGTGATATGGGATCATGAAACTGCTCGCATTGATGAGTATTAGGGCCTGTAATTGAGTATGGCCGTCGGTGTTGGAGGGTTGGCCGGAATTGGTGTTGAAGCCGTGCGTGAATGCTTGATTTTCAGCCCAAATTTTGTCTCATTTTGGAGCTGTTATGTATAATTTTTGGTATGGAATTGAAGAGTGGGATGGGGACATGTTGACGGTGTGGAAATTCGGTGGTTTGTCCGGCGGCAGGGTGGATGAATTTGGAGTTGAAAGTGCCGGTGGAGTTGATGATTTTGGTTGCAATTCCTACTTGCCAAGAAAATAAAAAACCTGATGAAACATGAGAACCAATTCAAGGATTCTATGGAAAAGCTGGTCACGTGATGTTAAAATAGAAAATGTTTTGCCTGGAAAATATACTCTATCAAATAGCAAAAAAGTTGGAAAATTGTGAAAATTTTCCATCTTCCATGGAAAAGATTGCCTATCAAACACAGCCTAAATATAACTTGCTCACGTGCTAAAGTCACTTTTGAGATCAAAATTTAAATTTGACAGTACAAGAAATGAGCAATTTCCCAAGGCATGTTCTATCAGCAATGACCCGTATCATGATTCAATAATAAGTTACATGTGATGTGCTTTGTACAATTCCGTCAACCAATATCTATTTTGTTCATCAATGATCCAATACAAACATCAGCAACCTATCCATAGATTTCGTATTGTCCTGTCTTCGCTAATAATAGTGTGTAATTCTGGGCCAAATTTTTTCAATATTTCGAATTGAAAGAAAATTTTGGACAATATTCCTTATAATGCTTTTGGATACACTTACATATTAAGAATGTCACTACTCAAACATAGAAATACTTGAATATTGCAATTTTCAAATTCCTGTTTCAGAGTTAGCAATAGAAAATTGGGAAATATTGGTGGAACATATTCAAACTCATTTAAAAATATTAAACAGAAAGTAGATGGTAAATTTGAATTTAATACAGCGGTGGCAAGGTGTCAAACACAATTTGAATTGATATGAAGTTGCATACATGGGTCAAAAAAACCGATACGGAAACTATCCTAATTGCAGTATTTACAGATTGCACAATATAACATTCTGTACAAACTGAAACAACCAATACAGGACAAAATATCTTCCAACAAGTATCTACGATGGAGCAATCACGAGTCTGAGATGCAATCTCGGTATAAGTTAGAGAATTTCTCTTCACAGTCCGTTTACATCAAGATCTTCTTTAAGTCTTAATCTTTAAGCTTTAGTCAATGAGAGCTTAAGAGACATCTAAAATGGTTAGATGAGATTTCTTTTGGTGTATGATATTCATTGATCACATAGCTTTTAATTGATGAGATGAAGAGAAGGATTACCAGTAAGTTAGAACCTTTTGAGACACTTGATTCGAAAAAAATTAGTAAAACTAATGTGGAATATACAGAAGTTCATTTAGTCATTCTAGGAATAAAGATGGCGTTGGAGTCACCATGGAAGATCATCATGTTGCAAAAACTCAGAGCTTTATGTCCTTAGGTCCAATTATTAACAAGGAATGAGACTCAAGGAGGATGTAGCTACAGGAAGTCTATGTGATAAGAAGATACCTGTAAGGTCAAAATGCAAGTCTTACAAAACGTTTTAGACCAGCTATACATCATGGTAGCCAATGTTAGACAGTGACAAAATATGAATAGTATGAATGTAGTCAAAATGAGAATGCTAAGACAGAGTATAAAATAGATAATAAGTAAGAATATATTCCATGGCACCAATTGAAATGGATTAAGGGATGGATGATTAAGGTGGTTTTGACATCTTGTATTACATAAAGAAGCTCCCATTCACCCAAATTTATTGTAAATAAAGCTCAGCGTCTTTATGAAACAAATAGCATGATTGGAAGAGTAAATAGAAAATTGTGTGCATGATGTAAACATGTAAAAATGAACTACAAACTATTATATTTTTCTGTTTTGGGTAGGGAAGGGGGAAACAGGGGAGAGGGGGCAGTGGATTGGCTTTTTTCAACTTCTCATTTTATACACATGTGAAAAGCGTTTATGAAGTAAAAGAAATATAGGAGGACAAGAAAGTCACGAATCAACTTCTCTATATTCACAATCTTGTCATCTTTTTCTCTTCTGGCAGCTTATGTTAGATTGCAAAAAGTTAGAACTTCATGATTACCTTATAGCGGAAAAAAGGGACAGCTTCTACCCAATTTCAGAATGCAAAACAGGTTTCAGCCAGAATGTTTTACAGGAATGCAAAACAATCATGTCAAATGTAAAATAGGTTATCAAATGCAATATAAATGTTAACTTATAACGAATAAAACTCAGCATACAAGACAATCCTTCCTACATCTAATTAGTACATACCTAAATTTATGCATATACATGCATGCATCTACAGACGGGCCAAATGACTTCTCAGTCATAAGCAGAGAACGCATATAAGTTCTACTGTGCTAGCACAGAAACCGCAACATCAGGAGCTCTTTCGGCTGTCTAGCTGTTAAATCATACGTCTATCATAATAAAAACAATTGTAATGAATTCACACATAATGTTCCCCAACTTTTCAAATTTTATTTTTTATACAAGTCCCTTTTTTGGTGCTCTATGCTTTTTGTTGAAGAGAAATATTTTTCTTAAGGAAATATATTATCCTCTTTTTTTTNTAATCAAATATTTTATTAATTAATGTATAATACACAGGAAGTGTATTGCTTTAAATCAGAAAGTAACAACATGAAATTGGGCAACCCGTCTATATGCCTAGTAGCCGCAGTATTAAACCAAGTATACATGTCAAATAAAATAATTCTCTAATTTGTTCTGTTGTCCATGTTAAATTTTCAAAACAGTGATTGTTTCTCTTTCTACACACACCATATGATGCAACCCAGAATAAGGTCCTATACAAGTTTGATATCCTTATCTCGAAACTTTCTCCTCCATGCCTTCAATACGTCTTCTGTACGTCTCGGCAACATCCA